CTCTGTTTCTCTCCCCAGTCCGGCTCTGTACTATCACAAAAAAAAACAGTCGGCTTTGCTCACCAGGATTATTTGCACAGCCGCCTGCGGTCCCTTTCTGTGTACTCCATTCGCCGTCCTCAGCTTTTTCCTCCCATTGATGTAAGTTAGGATCAGAAATTTCCACCTGCAATAGTACAAACGTAAATATTAGGTACGATCAAATAAAATCGAATCAAACAACTGTACAGTCCGAAACTGAGGGGAAAACTGAGGGGAGCGCTTTCAAGTGAGCTCAGAGACGACTGAAAGTCTCCTGACAGAGGAGAGGAGAGACGTATGGACAGTCGCTATCACTAAAGTCAGTCAATGTCGGTGGCCGATGGTTTCGGGGCGGCGCCAGCCCCTTCCCGAGCACTCATTGAACGCATGAAGCCGTAACTCGATGGGATGCAGGCTGGCGCAGCGCAAAGCCCATTCGCCGCCGACAGGCCCCGACTGACATCAGTGATGAGAACTGCATAAGAGAGGAGAATGGGCATGGGAATAGCCAGTCCCTTTTGCCCTCCTATATGGACCGTTAAAGTACCGGACAAGGCTCAAAAAGCCCACGTACCCCGGTCATTTCTGAGACTTCGTTCATCACAGCCGCCGATAGATTGCAAATTTCCATCTGCATGAAATTGGTGTAGAAATCGTCAAACGACATCCTGTTAATAAAAATGTTAATCAAAACTTCCGTGACCAAAGTGCAGCTAGAAAAACAGTCCGTTGCCAGTTATTTACATTTAGCCACATTTTGAATAGTTGATGTGTTCATCAAAAAGTGTTGAATACATGAAAGGGTTTGCGTGGCGTGCCTTTATTAAAGGCAGTTGGCACGATGATTTGGTGCTCGGCCTAAAATGCTAGTAGGGCGCTATATAGTGGGGAAATGGCGAAAGAACGGAGTGAAACGGTCAAAATCCTGCGAAGAAAGAGCCTCCGTTCTCAATGTGTTAGAAATCAATTTTGGACGAGTTTTCTGTAGGCATCTCGGCCAAGTAACCCGCTACCCGAGGGTCGCTTTCGTACTCATACATCCAGTGGGCAGCAGTCACGCGCGCTTCAATCACCAATCGCCCTTAACTTAATAATTGCTTGCAAATGAATCAACTTCGAGGCGTCCAGGACGGTCGTCATATGTGGGCAGGCCGCGAGTGCGGCGTTTTGGGTCGTATGGTGTGTGGCTTTGATAGGGCCCCTTGTAAGGCACCTCCCTGGGAAAAGCATTATTTGGCGCGCCTGCTGCAGGATCGCGGAATTCCGTCCCTGCCATGGCGATATTAAATCTTACTCGTCTTGGAGGACATCTTATTCCTGCCACGTGGCCTAGCCGGGTCTATGAAACTAAGAAAGGATGAACAAATTGGGACATTAGATGAACACTTTATCGGTGAATCGTTCAGAGCCCTCGGCCACTGCCGAAGTAATGGTCAGGAGACTTCCGTTGTGGCGACTTGCTGTTAACTGATAGCGCCATCGCGTGCGCGGCATTGGCACCGAATCCGATTGATTGAAAGTGATAGTAGTACGGTTTGCAGAGTTTCTTGACTAGAAAAGTACCTACTAAGTTGTTTGCGCTGTACTCCGCAACGTTGATTTCTCGACTTTTGCCGGGTGCAAACCCAGTTCATGCACTGCCACTTGGAAGTAATGAATCTCAATCGGCCAGAAGTGACCGCTGGGACACGGTAACCAGATAACCCTAACGATTTGCCAAAGAACATTTACGCACAAGGCTATATGAAAATGCTAAAAATTACCAGAATTCGCCGTCCTTAGCGAACTCAACTCCTAATTCGGCTCTTTTCTGGCTATCCACATAATTCCACTTCTGATGATCCATCACTCCAAGGGCCGTTCCATTCCTTGACAAGACAGTGTACAGCAACATTAATAAAGTTCGTAAACACAGCTTGTCAAAGTACCTTGCTGTTTCCCCACGGATTCCGGACACGAACCAGAGGAGTTTCACCGTGTGGACCGGGCACAGTGTGTAAAGCAGTGATACTGTAAGCATGTCCTCGAACCAAGCCATTTTCTAACGGTGCTTCCTTTTGATTTGGGTCAGCCTGAAAACTTAAGGTTGTTTTAGGTTATGAAGATTCTGAATTCCGAACAAAATCCAAGCGATGTTCAGCGTTGGGGAGGGGACCTTCTGCTTTTTCGCTAACTTCTTTAATTTACGCGTCTAAGCTCGATAAGACCTGCAGGCTCTTGTAAAGCGTGACCGAAGCTCGTGCTACTGCATAGCTTTACAAAAACTTAGGGGTCTCCACAGGAATCATCGGCAGTGGTCAATAAGAACCTGCAAAATGCCGCCACCAAGCCGGAAATGGCCGCGCTAAAAAATCATATAAGCTTAATAAGCGTTGCACAATAGATCCTCATGGACGCAGAAACCACCGTATTTCTCTGTACACAATGCAACTTCAATACTATATCAGCTCAATTGCATTTATATTACCGCTCAGCTCTCAGGTCTGCCTCAAGCCCATGCCCAAACTTATAGCTCATTCACCTCATAATCGTGCATTTCGCAAATGGCTTACCCGCTTCTTCTCTGCAACAAATTCATTGGCACTTCGCTCTCTTCAGTTTGATAAAGCCTTCGCTGCTGATCAATCCCCTTTTGGGTTGCCGTACGCATTGCAGTCCCAATTAGAATTGAAAGTAGTGGCTCACTGAACACCATGCTGCCTATACAATGACTTGCGGGGGTAAAGTCAGGTGTTTTATCCTCCCAGATGGCTCCCTTACCATATTACCGTACAGGAAGGGTGAAAGGCTCCGCTGGCCCAAGCGGGAGCCGAGCCCAGATTTGATTCTGGACCGCGCGCGTGGTAAGCGCGCAATTTACGACTACACCGCTGTAGCCTCCAACAGATTACCTGGATAAACAGACTCCATGTTTACGAGGCTCATTAGTGGGCGCAACGGTTGCTATAGGTCTGTTGACACTTGCTGGTTTAGGGTAAATCGGTCAGGGACGTTTTCTTGAACAGCCTGCGCTCTCTTGTGCAAATGCTATCTATTTCTCTACGCCCACAACTGAATCCACAGACACGCCTACCCACTCCCTGTGATATAGAATGAACGACTGAAATCGGTACGAGCGGAGTCACTTGACTATCTGCTAAGAGCATCAATAACATTGGCAGCGCTCAAAAAAAACATGAAAAATCCCTCACATCGATACTACATCCAAAAAGCGACCCCATCTGGAAACCACGGATCATCATTGCTAGAACAGTGGCTTTGTCGGTCTTACGAAGATCGTAGAACTCGGTGAGTCCACCAGTGAAGTCCTCAAGCGCTTCAGCTGTAGTTCCGCCTTCGAGGTTTTCATACGAACCGTAGAGCCTGTGAAAATGTCGTTGGAAGATAACGAATTTTGAATCTCGGGCTATTGACAACAAAAGAAGAAGTAGCTACAGTGCTGTTTACTGCGGGCGCTGGGGCGTCATAGAGGGGCTGGGTTTGGCGAGGCGTCAGCCAGTTCTCCACCAGCTGGTGAAGAGGGCAAGCGACGACGATTGGTGAAAAACAGGCTGGCGTCACGCCAAACTCAGTATCCCTGGCACGCCCCGCATCCGCAGCGAACAAGACTGTACTAAAGACTCACTTCGCATACGCTTTCTCTAACAGAGCACTCCAAAATTCATTATGCTCATGCGAATGCATATAGTAAAGTCGTCCATCCACAGTGGGCAATCGATCGTCGATCACCACATCGATCCATCGACCATATCGCCAAAATTGGAAGTGGAAAATACCTGAAAACAAACAGTTGCCAAAGAAAGAAACTCCGTGACTGAGCGCTGTGTTCACAAAGTAAGCACCACAAGAGAGCCCCACCAGGAAACAGTCGCTGCGATACTGTAAGAGCTGT